GACCACGACTACAGAACAAACATTACAATCTCAAGTAGGTATTACATTACTACAGAAATATTAATCAAATATACACTATATTAGTTATATTTTTATCTAATTGAATGGCATACAAACTAACGATGCACCAGATGGTTACTGGTAACCATCGTCTATAGTACATGTGTGAACAACACTACGGACATCACTTTATCATCTGGTAACACCTGTGGTACCATTCATGCATTGCGATTTCAAAGGACTAAGATGTCATGCTCTTTATTCTGTAATTTCACGACCTATCACCTATCTCACCTTTCAACCTAAATACAGCTTACAAAGCTAACTGCTTGACGGCTGAATTAGGTATAAAGCGCAGACGGCTTATTAATCTACCTCGTCGTATTATTTATTGTACATAATTGTTGAATATTATCCTGCTTCTTATCCTATAACAATTTCATTGTCTAATATGCACTCTACAACCGAAACACATTTTACAAAGCAAACTGCTCGGCAGCTAAACTAAGTAAGATGAGGCCTCCGGTATTCACTTAATTGCTTTATTATAGCATCTTTCAACAGTATTGAAGATTATTAAATTAAAACAATACAAATTTCGTCAATGTACACCTGTAGTAACACAGAATGTGAATCGAAACTTGTTACTGATTTGTAATATGAAATTCGGATATCTGTGGCTTGGTCCAAGTTTATAGATTACAAGTTTGTTAAAATGAAAGGGTAACTAACAGCTTTAAGCAAACTACGTATTACATCTAATGTTTACATTATCTTGCAGGCCTTTTCTTATATAAGTATCGTAACCTTAATTTATAAAACAAAAATTAATTGTTATCATTTCCGATTTTTCAAGAGTAGTGGGACACAATATGGCGATTTATGAACCCGCAAACGGCACGAACTAGTCGTGAATATATTCCTTTATAGGAACATTTAGTTACAATATACATTGCTTTTTTATTGCTTAAACTTTATTTAGGTAAAAATAAAAAATATAGCATAATTGCGGCAAAGTAGGTACAATTTTTTTAACCTATATTTGTAATTTTATAAAATCGTTTATTTAGAGAGCAGACAGGATTATTTGATTTTTATATTTCAACTTAATGACTCCTAGTAGCAGTAGTACATAAATGCCGATTTAATATGTATGCCTCCGCTGTCACCTATTACTTAACAATCTTACTATACGAATGCATCGTGGGTGTTGCAATGACCTTGGAATAAATCAATAATGATAATATTCAATCGGCTATTGTTTCACTTCCAATTCAAAACATGATAAGATTACATGATTCTTTTGTCAACTCGAATTTGTGGACCGATCTGAAAAGTCGCTCTTATTTAGATAATAGTAACAAAATTTTTTTATACAATTTATTCATTATGTGGATAATTACGATTAGTAACTAGACTGCATAAAGTGAAACAATGGCGTATTTTTAATCGTCACTATTAAAAGACAACGGAAAAGTAAATCAAAACTGACATATAATAATAATAATATCAGGACAATTCACACAACGCCATCTAGACCCAAGTTAAGCTAGCTAAAGCTTGTGTTATGGGTACTAGATAACTGATACAGATACATAGATATATTTTTTTTCGTCAATACATACATATTATACATAGAAAACATCCAGACCGATACAAACAATTATACTCATGAATACAAATGTTTGTGCCGTGCGAGGAATCGAACCCGCAACCATCGGATGTAAAGCGGTATGCTGGACCGTTAGACCACCGAGATCGTCAAAATAGAAAGAGAACAGATATAGAATGATAACATCAAATATATGTAATGTTTTATCCAAAAAAATACATGTTAAGTTCAGACAATACAACTTGACCAACGAGTCAATGCGTTTTAAAACACATAGGTACATTAGTATTCAACACTTCATGGTGAAACGTTAAACATAATAAACATTGTAGGACTGTAAACTTTTTGAAGTTATTAAATACCAAAGTACCAGTGATAAATTTAACAGAATTTCACTTTTTTAAATAATAAACAATCAAAGACATTCAATGTCGTTTAAAATGATTTGCAATTTCCGAGTAGCAATGCAGATAACGCACGCAAGTTTTAATAAATTTCTCCATCACTGTACTATTTATGAAAATCACTAAAAGCAAGTAATCGAACCTTCAGAGAAAGGAGTCCAAAACCTGTGTCCGTAGAATGACAATCGACATATCCTCGTAACGACCACCACGTTTCTTCAATGCAAGTACATTACCGAGTGTTGTGAATAATCAATGTTATGTTTGTAGATATCGATAAATTTAACAATGACTACACAAATGGTACCAAGTATTGATTTGAGATAAGATTGGCACTTGTCGAAAATGTTATCGTTCATGAAACTATGTCATTATTACGTTTTGACGTCCACAATATTTCAAGTGCATAATGCCCAGTATTTATTTTAGTAAATTGCAAATATCTATACTCACATAATATTTTGGTCAATACAATTAAAAAATATGTTCAAATCTGCAGTTTTTAGTACAATAAATAATAGTTTATTTCAAAGATCTTGGATTGTCACATAAAGTTATTAGATTATATAACAATCTAACCTCAGTTCAATGTAACTGATAGAAAAAATATATCATTAAAGCGCTTATAAGAATTTGCATTTACTTCATTAAAAAACTCTTTAATATATTGTTTATGTCTTTTATTTACTAAACGTTACAAATAAAGTATCTATCTATCTATCTACGAAAAAACACAATTCTCTCTCTCTCTCTTGAAATACTTTTAGTAATAAGCTTATCAGTGAATATTTTAACGCTCGACCGACTTTGTTCTGTAATTATTCTTATTGTATATTCCGTTAAACAGTTGTCGAATATATCGAGTATAATACAGAAGCACAAGAAGACAAAACACCAAAGTACAAAAGATAACATTTATTATCTTTGTTTTCATCAAGAATATAATTACAAAATATGGCACGTAATTAAAGGCATTCACGTGGGCACCTTTTGTCTAATATGCCGTATATTAGACAAATTTAGGTAATACACCAGTGTAGTTATCTTATATAAATTTAAGAAATACAGAAAATGTGATATTTTACATACACGACCAAAACACGGCTAGACAGAGAGTCTCATTATACAGTGTTGATATAATTTTATATTAGCAGAAATATGACAAAGATATTTATAATATCTTAGTCATATTTTTGCTAATCTAATCTAGATGATCTAAATTAATTATCTTCCAGATCCTTTTCGAATAATATAAAAAAATGAAACGCAATAATTACTACGAATAAATTGTTTATATATAAAAAAACAGATCCCTTCTGGTCTATCGATATCGACATAGTAACTTCACTAGTGAAGGTATACACAGACCACGAGACGAGACGTATGAACAAACTACAAAACAAGTTCGAAGGCCGGTCGCGTAGTACGTGCCCCTCGTATGGGGGTCACTGAGAGGCAATGCGGATACGCAAAGATTTTCTCCACATCGAGTATTAATTTTGCAATATCGATCAAATCTTACATACAATCTATAGGTTTATCGCAGTAATAAACTTTTAAAACTAAAACCCTCTTATCAAATTTTACAGTTACATACTTAAAACTTTGTGTAAAATAAGTCAACATTTTTAACATTTGTTTAAAAGAGCAACAGGCCAGTTTCTTGCTTATTCTTGTTTCTTCTTGGCTGAAATAAAATACTATTAAAATATGAAGTTTATTTAAATAGACATTATTTGTGCTTCTATTTACTTTCACTATAACTATCATCAGAGTCACATGGTCCGTTTATTTAATGTGATCAAGGATTAAAATTTTTATGGAAAATAAACTATAAATGCAGGCATGGATTTGCAGATTTAGGTATTTTAAGAATTCCCTGGTTTTTAAACTCTTTAAAGATTCACAATTATGGTAATTATGGTAATTATTAAAATAATTATTATTGCTCACAGCAAATAGTTCGAAAATATGTAAAAAAGAAATAAAACAATTGTCTTAAATAGACACCCGTCACTATTCAATGTCTATCTATATTCTACCCTTTCCCTTATACTACTCTAGTATTTATTTACTAATGTAGGGATGTCAACCGTACCTACGCTGATCCGCATAAATTTCAATTTTAAACCTTGTATAAGTTTGTACAAGATTTTGTTTGATAAATCCATCAAAACGCTTTGACACACTTTGTACAGGTTAGAGTGCCAACTTAAGCCAATATTGGAGATTTTATCAGATTTTTAATTTCTTCATACTAAGTTAGGTGTTTTATGGTTGGCAACCCTGCTTTATACCGAGATCATGAGAATGAGACTGGATGGAACGGGTTTGTCGGACGTCCGTCTGCGCTGCCGTTTCCGGCTATAACAAAAACAAACTCGCACCGTTTCTTGTGACTCACGCACGAGGCGAGGGTAAGACGCGTTAAATTGGCCATCTGTGCCAAGCGAATTTAACGCGTCTTACCCTCGCACAATATTTTAATCTGCAGTTCATTTACTGCGGTGTGGTTGACTAGCCCGTATAAACACCAAAAGTTGAAAATTCACTGGCACCAAAAAAAATTTGTGTGTTTATTTAATTTTCTGATCGATTCTCCAGTGAAGAAGTTTAGTCAGCAGTTAATCCTAGAGACAGAGGTAGATTTGACCCTGCCATATTGAATTCCTATACACTAATAATAATGATAATCTCAGGACAATTCACACAGCCCCATCTAGACCCAAGCCAGCTAGAGCTAAGGGCACTAGACAACTAATACACATACATAGATATATTTTTTTCGCAAATACATACATATTATACATAGAAAACACCCAGACCGATACAAACGCCGCCCTCGTTTTCCAGGCATTTATCGGTCGATAACAAAAGAAAACTAGACTTTCACTATCTTTTAATATTAGGATTATATGTAAATTACATTTTACTTCAACAAATGTTTGTGTAGTTGAACAAATATTCGTTAACTTATTTGTGAGTCATGCAATTATAACTATTGCCACATAAGGATTAAGTGTGAAATTTATATGCAACTGGTCACACGTGCATTCTAAATCCACATGGCAGCACGGGCTTCCTGTAACTCCCTCCGATATAGCACGTACTACAACATAATTAGTTCAAACTCACGTATTCTTAGAAGCGTTGACTACATTTATTTGAATGGATATGGTAAGTGTAAACAGGGTATGAGTCTGCTCCGACTCATCACCAACATTTTTGTATGATTGCGTGTAGTCTTGTGAAGATAAAGATAAAAATGTTCTACTTTCTGAATTTTTGACCTAATTGCTGAAATGACGTTTTCCCATTTGTAGATATGACCACAGATAACATAATATTACATACAGATACCCCATCCCATACAAGAAAATGGTTCCTTCCTAACTCGGGCTATTCTTCGGGCTATTTTATTTCGCCACCGTAGTCGCTAGATGTCGCTAGATCTGAAGCAGTTCGGATTACTAGTGGGTGCTTAGTAACAAAGCATGAAAATAGATGGCAGTCAATTCAGTCTACATGACATCTGTTTTGCAAAGATATGTATATAATAGATATGTAGGTAACTGTATCGTGTACCTCATTAGGGACGATTCAAGATTCAATGTAAATGTGTAGGTATAATATCGTTAGCCGACACTCTGCAGATATGGCTTATGTGCCAATGTATATACCTATTATGTTATGGTTTATTTTACATTCCATGCCTATTTTTTTGATATGTTGTAACGCGTCTGCGCTATACGTATAGCCTGATTTTGATACGTTTATACTCGTACGTATCAAAATCGGGCTATACGATTTTTTATTTCAATCGTTATATGTATGAGACTGATTTTAGCTACAATTAATTTACTGGTATATACCTCATGTATTCTACGATGTACCCCTCTTTTACCTAATGAGAATTCCGCTATATCTTATATATATAAATTTTGTATCACAGTGTTAGTTGCCATATTTCTCCCACATTTTGATGAAATTTGATATGTATACTTGCCAGGTCTGAGGTAGGGTTGTTATCTATTTTTTATACCCCTAAGTCATAGGGGTGGCCTACCCCGAAAAAATATTTTTTTGTATTATGGACAATTTTTTATTTATTTATAATGTTACATTGAAAATACATACACGCCTAAATTTTCACCCGTCTTTCACCAACCCCTATTTTTAATAGCGATATTCTTACAAATATTATAAATGCTAAAGTAACTCAGTCTGTCTGTTTGTCTCGCTTTCACGCCAAAACTACTGAACTGATTTAATTGAAATTTGGTAGACAGATAATGTAGACCCTGAGAAAGGCTACTTTTTAATGCGAAAAAGTATTGAAAGGGGAAATGAAAGGCTATATGAGGATATCGTAATTTTTAAAGTCAGATCTTGTAAGATTAAGTGAACAGAGTCGGTCTAGGTTTTTCATTATTAGAAATGTGTAACGGGGTAACACGTTATTTAGTGCGAAATTGTGTATATTACAATAAAATTTAACGAGAAAATATTATAATGATGTCACTGGGACACTCATTGCCTTACTACTATATCGTCCGTTAGTCGCGAACTTTCTGGAAACACGAGAGGCGCGCTCCTATTGGTCGGTCGGCGCGGTTACCGCGCGTAGATGAGTAGATGAGGTAGACCAGTCTCACGGCGCCGCAGCGTAAGTACTTACTATACATACGTAGTATACATATGGGTGTTACAAATGTTTTTATTACGAGTAATATTACTCTGTTATCTAAGCAAGTAATGTGTGCTTATTTTGAACTTGATAACATTCTGAATTACTCGTATATCTTTCAATATCTTTAGCGGTATAAACCAGGTTATGTACTACTACTAGTATTGTTAGTGAGGGGAGTTGATGAACAAAAATAAAACAATATTCGTATGAAAAATATATTCATCTAATATTTTTGGCATTATTTTTAAGTTTCTTCCAAATACATGGGGTGTTATGTACCTACATTAAAAGATACTTTTTGAAATGTATGAAATTTTTTAAATGTATGATATTTTGAAATGTATGTACCTACATTAAAAGATAATTTTTGAAATGTATGAAAGAAACGTATTGTATGAAATTTTTGAAATGTGTGAAATGTATGTACCTACATTAAAAGATAATTTTTGAAATGTATGAAAGAAATGTATGTACCTACATTAAAATATAATTTTTGAAATGTATGAAAGTAATGTATATACCTACATTAAAAGATAATTTTTGACATGTATGAAATGTATGTACCTACATAAAAAGTTCATTTTTGAAATGTATGAAATGTATGAAAGAAATGTATGTACCTACATTAGAAGATAATTTTTGACATGTATGAAATGTATGTACCTACATTAAAATATAATTTTTGAAATGTATGAGATGTATGAAAAAAATGTATGTACCTACATAAAAAGTTCATTTTTGAAATGTATGAAATGTATGAAAGAAATGTATGTACCTACATTAAAAGATAATTTTTGACATGTATGAAATGTTATTTAAATTATTAACCGGGTATTAACACGAATAATTTTATGGCAAATAAAGGTGTTTACCTCTCTCGACGTTTCGACTAGGTTGCACTAGCCGTGGTCACGAGCTGACTGGAGTAACAGCGATGTCAATGTAGATAGGTGACAGCAGTTTTTTCTTCATCTACCGTCACTAGATTGTTTAACGAAAGTTCGCGACACACAGCACTCACGGTATCCGTACACTTATTGACTATTGATGCTACTGAACTTTGCTTGAATTTATTTATGACTGGATTCCACGCGGATGATAATTTTAAGCCATCCTCTCTGTTGAAATTGGGATGTTTTTTAATTTCAATCGCCTCCCGGACCATTCGTGGGTAATAATGGCGATCAGTAGAGAGGACCTTAGGCGCATGTAGTTCAATCCAGTGATTTGTTCCTGCGTTCAGTAGATGATCGGCAATCGCTGATTTGTGTGGTTGTCGATTTTTAACCGCTGCGATGTGCTCTTTGACTCTCTCGGCTATTGATCGTTTTGTTTGGCCAATATAAGAGCTACCACTACTACAGTCAATTTTGTAGACACCTGGAGCTTCGTAAGGTAGCTTATCCTTTGGTGAACGTAAATTGTTCGTTACTTTTGAGGGCGGATAATATACAGTCTTAATGGAGTATTTATTTAGTGCTGTTCCAATTTTGTCCGTTATTCCTCTTAAGTAAGTCATGTACGCTGGCTGCCTGTTCACTTCCGGTTTTTTAGCTTTTGTTACGCGCTTATTTTGCCTTCTACTCTTTATGTAACCATTTTTCTTGAGTACTTCTTGAACGTGGGATAGTTCTTGTTCCACAAATTCAGGGGCACAGAGATCTTGCGCTCTGTTTGTGAGAGTAGTGACGACTGATTGTAAATGTCGTAGGTGATGATGTGAGGAGGCATGTAGGTATCTATCTGTGTGTGTTGGTTTCCGGTATACTGTGTGTGTAACTGAGCCATCAGATCTCACCATAACTAGGATGTCCAGGAAGGCTAAGGACCTATCTTTCTCCAATTCCATTGTAAATTTGGTTTTAGAATGTATGGAATTTAGGTATTTTAGGTATTCGTCTGCTTGTTGTTGTGTACCATTAAATATGCAAAAAACATCATCTACATATCTTTTCCACAGGCTAATTTCTAATGGCGTAACGTGACCACGGCTAGTGCAACCTAGTCGAAACGTCGAGAGAGGTAAATACCTTTATTTGCCATAAAATTATTCGTGTTAAGACCCGGTTAATAATTTAAATAATGTATATTAAACACGAATGTATGAAATGTATGAAAGAAATGTATGTACCTACATTAAAATATAATTTTTGAAATGTATGAGATGTATGAAAGAAATGTATGTACCTACATAAAAAGTTCATTTTTGAAATGTATGAAATGTATGAAAGAAATGTATGTACCTACATTAGAAGATAATTTTTGACATGTATGAAATGTATGTACCTACATTAAAATATAATTTTTGAAATGTATGAGATGTATGAAAGAAATGTATGTACCTACATAAAAAGTTCATTTTTGAAATGTATGAAATGTATGAAAGAAATGTATGTACCTACATTAAAAGATAATTTTTGACATGTATGAAATGTATGAAAGAAAGAAAGAAAGAAAGAAAGAAAGAAAGAAAAATATTTTATTCAGTGCAATGTAAAAAATACAATATAAACAACAAGCGGAAAAAAAAAAAGAGCAAATAAAATGTACATATAATTAAACTTAATTTACCATAATTAAAAAATAAACATAAAATAAACATTGAAATGTATGTACCTACATTAAAATATAATTTTTGAAATGTATGCACCGTACAATAACAATACACGTTAAACATCATACCACAGAGTCATACGCAAGTTAAAAACAAACTGCTATGATATTAATGAGAAAGGAAAATCAACTTTATGGTATTCGAGTTAGGGTCGATTTCTCTCTTTTTTTAAATACTATTTTAATCTTACCAGTTGCCAGTATTCGAAGACAGCTACGATTCGTACTCGATATTTTAAATTATTATGTAATCGATTTTTCAGTACAAATGTAAATAACCAACGACACTAATAATGTACTACTATATTCCGTTCTTTGAAACGGAACACTGCTATAATACAAAATAATGAAAATTTACTGTTCACAACGACTCATTAAAAGCATCATCGAATAATGCGCTGTAATAAAATCCTGTTATCGATTATTCAAAAAAATCGATAATACATGTATTTATTTTTAATATGACAAAACTTCATACATAAGTATTATTGGAAATAGTATTACTTGCTTGTTCGGCTATTTTTAATTTACTTAAAAATTTTTTATATGTTTCATTTACAATAATAATATATTAAGTGCTTATTATTGGAAAATATAAAAAAGACATTTAATTAGGCCGATACAAATGACGACAATGCCATCTATGAAAGCATTTTGAAAACATTGAGCCCCATATTAGCACTGATTAAAGTGTAATTAAGTACTGGAAAATAACAAAATGAGTAAATATATGAAAATTACTTTTCTAAACGCATTATTTCATTTTAACATGTATATATAACTTTTTAAAAATTGATTAAACATTTTTGAAGACACAGTTTTGTTTTTTAAAACATTGGCAAAACTATGAAGAATTCCATCGATACCAATCACGCCATCTATATGCAACTTTTAGCAATAATAATGGCTACTTCCTCATTGAGTGCCACTGATATGACTAAATGAGATTTTTTACACTGATTTTAACCGATGTAACAGATTTTTTGAATTTCATTAACTGTGGTGTAATATTATATGGTGTATATTATCTTATTATGACAGCTGTATACAAATATTATTAAATATAAAATATTATATATAAATATTATTAAAAATCGACACTTACACTATTTTTATAACAACTAAAATATTTTTTGTTTTAAACTTGACCTTGAAAATAAATCCTGAAAACAAAAACAATTGCAGTACCCGTGCATATATGACAAAACGAAAGAGCAACATATCATCATATGGAGCATCATAATCTTTATACTTGGTGTCCCTTGTAGCATTGTGCAGGTAACAAGTAACGTTTTAGCACTATTCACGGAAAGAGTTGTATTAAGGGGAGTGTTAACGTCAATTTAAATCTAATAATATTTTCCCACAGTTCATTGTTTTGTTGAATATAATAAACCTTTTTAAATGACGTAATGTTTGACAAATTTGCATGCCTCTTACCGGCGCCATGCTACGAGTATAACGCGCAGAGTATACAAATCAGAGAGGTAACATGTTTACAAATTGCACAGAACCACAAGCATACATATACAAATAAATATCTTTTTTTTTAAATTGGAATGGCAAACAATCTGATAGCTAAACTTCGTCGTTAAACTATAACCGTCGTCTATATACATGAACAGCACTATAAGGACATCACGTTAACATGTGACAATGATACTACTCATATATTGCCATTCTAGAGGACTAAGATGCCTCATACCTTGTAATTTCACTGTCTAATGTAGGGTGCACTACAACCGAAACACAACTTACAAAATGCTTGATGGCAGCAATACTATATATAGGTGAGACTGAGATAGCCACGTAGACTAGCCTTTACAGTTTACCTTCTAGTATTGTCCTTCTGTACAATTTGTTTTTAACAAGTAGAGTCTTATCACATAAAACTATACCTGACTCTTATTGCGACGCAATTAGGTCCATAATATACGCTCCTCCTAGTTTATGTAGAGGGCTATACAATTCAACAGCTGCAGCGCTGAGATGTAAACAGTGGCGTGGAGCGATCGTTTGCAGCTGCCGTTACGATACCATACAATCATACATCTACCTCATATAACCCTTTAAGGCTATTGTTTTCGATTTCATACAATACATTTCCTTAGTACAAAACAAAAAAATAACATGTATTAATATGACAGTTATACCTATTCGTTTTTCCTAAATTAGTATTTGCATAGCGTGCTGCCTAAGTGCTTATTACTTAAAAAAATAAAGAATCTTCATTTATTCATTGGAGATTTACCTAATTGCCGAAGAATTGTGTTGAATGTTTTTCGGCTATATGTAAATATGTACCACTCGTATGTATCCTAATATTTGATAACGTATATTACATAGCGTACTATATATTACATAGATCTTAAAATACTTTGAAGCAAAAGAATTACTAAATGTAAATCCATGTGATATCATTATGCCATAGACTAGGTACATTTAAGTTATTGCCAGACAGTAAAATTTATGTAGAAATAAAATGTTTGTATTTAAAAAATAGCATACGATTTTAAATATTGCGTAAAATATACATATAAACATTATTGTATATTTTACGGCAGATATCTGTCTCAATCGAGAACTCTCATTTTTTGGAATCCGGGGAAGTATAAGTACAGTTCAATAACTAGTGATTACTACTTATATGAATTATTGAATAGTATTACTACAGTATCATACGAGTATAGATTGAATCATCATTCAATACTCGTACATATAATGTAATTTATATGCAAAAATTAAGCGAAAATAGTAACGGAAATAGGCGTGCTGATGTGAATATTATACGGCGCTAATTGATAATGATAATACGGAAATCGTACAAAAAATGATGCCAGCTGTTTGGTGACATCCTGTCATACATAATCACAAATAATAAAATCATAAACGGATCGTTTATGAAATGAACATTAAGAATGAACCGTGTCTGTAAATAATATATTATAAAAAAAAAACAATTAGTTATTCTTGTGTTTATGTTATAGGGATCAATTAAGAACCCTCAAAGCCCAGACTAAGCTTATAATAATCGGATTGATTGCGTGTTGGCTGATGGGAGATCGCGGAATCTTTAGAAGCGGCGTGCATGTAACAGGCGAGTTATAAGGCAAGAACTGTGTTTAAGAACAAAAGCATAGCACTCAGTTCTCTCTGACTAACCCTAACCCTAACTTAGAACTGAGTGCTGACTAACGCGTAGGATACCTGGTGTAAATGTAGATAGATATTGCAATAAGATTCCCGTAACAATCAGTTCTTTTATTATGTTTGGTACTTTAATTAGTAATTTATTTTCTATAATTTTATTCATCCCAAAACTCGTATCACTACATAGTATAAAACAAAGTCGCGGTCGCTGTCTATCTGTCCCTATGTATGCTTAAATCTTTAAAACTACGCAACGGATTTTGAAGCAGTTTTTTTTAATAGATAGAATGATTGTAGAGGAAGGTTTATATGCACTCCTAGTAACCTATATAAATAATATGTACTAAACGCGAAGGAATAAATATTTTGTATTATTATTAGTCATTTGAAACAGTTAACAAATAAAAAACTTAATCTGCAATTATTAGAAATAAGCGTACGAAGTCACGAGAATAATAGTATACCTACTCAATATTATGATAACATACATATATTTCGTACTCTATGTACACTGCAAACTTATGAGTCAGAAATAATATTAAAATTTAGTATGTATAATTATTTTAAATCAATGAGCTTTTACAAACTAATTGAGCCTTTTTGAACGACGCAAAAAGTTTTTTTTTTTTTCTAAAAAAACATATCATTATGATACGCTAAAAAATATTTAGGTAGATCGTATACTTAATTGTAAAACGCAAAAAGTATTTACTCCAAAAAACATAAATAAATTCGTTTTTAATTAGGTAGATAGGATAGTATTTATAAAATAATATCGTTATCGTATCTTTATATAGAAGATATATCTATATAGATATATCTTCTTTTATATTCCAAGTACATACACTTGGATTACACTTAATGGCAACGTCATTATTTTGAATATTTATAATACAACTTAGTATAAAAAATCCAGTAGATTGATAATCGTAAGTGATTGCTCTCGTTAGTAACTTTAATAACTTCAACCTAGGTATATAATAGCACGAATTAATTAATTATTTCACATAAGATCAGGTTTCAACTTACACGATAGAGAAAAATAAACATCAAAATTAGTTAAAAACTAATGTTTTAAAAAGTACT